CTTCAGCACCCCCGCGGCCCTGCCTCCCTCGCGCGGCTCCGGCGGGCACCATGCGGCCGCCTCTGAGGTCGCCGCAGCTGCAGCCGGGGCTTAGCTGGGAGCGGGAGGTGAATCTCAGCCCGGCATCGAGGGAGAGAAATTCCTGCTCTCGCTGCTGGTGGCTCTGTGAAGGGCTTAAAAAAATAGAAAGAAAGAAAAAAAGAAAGAAAGAAATAAAACAACCTGGATCAGATGTCTTTATTGCACATATATGGTAGCTCAGAGCCAGCTCTGGTTTAAATCCTAGCGAGGAGCCAATCCGCAATTAGGCACTGGGGAGAGGGCCCGGTTTATCGCAGCGTCGGGAAGGGGCGCGGGAGCCATCGGTCCCGAGTGCAGCTCACCTGCGGCTGCCTCGTCTGGACCTCCCCGCTGCTGCCTGCTGCGGGGTTTGAGGGCAGAAGTAGCTGTGGTCCCGCGTGAAGCAGGGCAGAGAAATTAACTGTGACCAGGGGTACCTGCAAAGGTTTCGGGCAGCTGCATCTCGTCTTTATCTTGTATTTTATTCACTTGCTCTAACGCTGTGCTGGGGATGCGCATGGCTCCGCGCGAGCATCCTTGGCCAGGGAGAGCCGTGGGCTCTTCGGGCACCGCGTGGCCAGCAGCGCCGCGGCCGGGTTTGGAGGGGGAAAGGAGACACGTTGCTGTTTACACAGAGCTTTAAATAGATTTGGGGGCCTTGGATGCAGCCCTGCAGCTGGGCTGGGAATGGGACAACCGGTCCCGTCCACTGCAACGTGGCCGGGCACAGGCGGGACGCGGCTCTGCTCCGGTGTCCCGTCTCGCAGCCGGACGGCCGTGCCCGGGACGTGGGGCCCGCGGGCGGCCGCGGTGCCGGGGTGGTGGAGCAGGCCCGGCCTGGCGGCGCTGGGTGCCCTCCCACGGTGCAGAGACGAATCACAGCCGGCCGCTCCGCTCCGCTCCTGCTCTCCAGCACCCTGCGAGGGCTGCCGAGGGGCTGGCCGGGGGGTGTCCGAGACGCTTTTATAGAGGGCAACTTTTCCTTTGGGCAACTGCAAGGAAGGATGTAGCGTTTGCAGCACTCGCCCTAGCCTAAATGAACCCCAGCCCGGCCGCGGCGCTGGCATCGCTCTGCCATGCGGGTCTGTGCTGGTGCTGCTGTGGCTCTGTTTCCCCTAGAGCCGCAGGCGCTTCCCTTGGTGGTCTAAGCTAAAGCACATGTGCAAACCCCTCTCCTGGGGCCCGACCCCTCGCTAAGCCCGGCGTAGGCTCTCCCCATTAAATTTGGAGGAGGTGAAGAGAAAGTCAAAGTTATTTGGCCGGGGCTCAGGTGCAGATAGTGCCTTGAATCCACCCTGGCCGCTGGAGGGCAAAGATAACAGCGCTGCTCCGGTGGGGCTGTGCCGGAGGCGGCGTGGAGCGGCGCTCGCGCGTCCCCTCCCATAAAGCAGCGTCCCGAGGTGACGGGCTGGACCAGCCCTCGTCTGTGTGGCCCCGTGGTTGGCAGTGCCACAAGCAGCTCTGTCCCCACGGCCGCCGCTTGGCAAAACGGAGCGGTCTCGCCTGGCAGCCCAACCTGAGCTGACGCCGTCGTTTGCGAACGCTTTTGTGGAGACCCCCTTGGTTTCGAGTGGCAGCTCCAGCTGCCTCGTGACAAGACATGTGACACTGAAGCAGTCCCCAAGTCCAGACCCCATTCCCAGCGGCTCCCGCACCAAATAAACAAGGATTTTTAGAGCCCAAGGAGGTGGGAGCTGCTTAGGGCCCCTCCGTCCTCCCGGCCTCACTCCCGCCGCACCTGCACCAAGGGCAGGATGCCGGGGAGCATCCCTGGTGTTACCCGCTCCCAATCCAGGCCCGGAAGGGGAGCGAAATGCGGCGACTCTGGTGTTCGGAAACGCAACACGCGCTCCGATGCCGGGGCAGGAAATGAGCTTCTCGCGCAGCTTTTGGTGGCTTCGTCGCCTTTAATAATGTTGTTCTTGGCCGGAGCTGCCGGGGCTGGCTGGGAACATATGGCTCATTAATCGCCGGCTCTTGGTGCTCCCTGACCCTGCCCTGGAAAACGCCTTGGCAAGGGCTGCTGTGCCAGGGGGTCCCCCCGGTGCCCAGGTAGCCCCAGCCGGCCGGGCTCTCCCCGGGCTCTCCCCGCTCCTCACCGCAGTGAGGGCCGGTCCTGGTGCGGCAGCTCCGCTCCAAGCAGGGCCATGGCTGGCTCCGTTAAGCGCCGCCGCCTCATTAAGAGTGCATTTTTGAGGCTTAGCAGCTCCAAAGAGGCGTCTGCAAGGGCTGGTGCCAGCGGAGCAGCCACGCGCGTGGCCGGGATGCCGCAGGCAGGGAACATCCCGCCGGGTTTGCGCCATCCCGAAGCCAAGGGCGGTTTGGGCAGGGGCCTGCAGGCTGCGCGGCCCGAAGCCGGAGTGCTC